ACTTCTGTTGTCTTTTGCCGGGCTCCGGTGATTGGCAAATCTGGGTGATGCCTTCTGATATGATTTAGCATGTTTGGCGTGTGTTCAGTGGCGTTTTTATATGTACAAAAGTGGTGGGGCACAAAAAACGTAGATGTCTATAAGCTTCTGCAGTGACGTGCAGTGAGGTTCATGGCTGGTGAGGCACTGGCACTGACTCTTCAGGTTTACAAATATTATATTTTGACCTAAATCAAAATATAATATTATTTTCAAAAGCTTTTTTAGTCTGATGCTTCGATTAATTTTAAACAGACAGTTCAACAAAAGGATAGCCTACCCAAAAAATGTAATTTTATCATTTAAATATTGAATTGTTCTCTCTTAGTAAGATCCCATTTTCAATAAAATTGTGGTCTTACCTTGACTTGAAGATGAAGTCCATTTGCCTATCCTTCTGGACAAAAATCTCTATTACTTTTTTGTAAAAGTCCTCCTTATCTTCTTGTAGTTTCAAAAGTCGAATCAAAATCAAATCAAAAGTCGAATTCAAAAGTTCGAAAATTATAAAAGTAGGGTAGACATGTGGATATTATCCGGGTGAACAAAACGTGCATTTATCTAAAAGGTACGTTTCCCACAGATCTTATTTCGAGCTATTTTCTAAAATCCTATGGAGAAATCTCATTGCTTTTTTGTCGAGGCAAGCCATGCGCAGCTTACTTCCTGGTTTTAGGACGCGTTACTGCAGCTCTCTCATCTCCTCTTCACACACCACACTTTTCGCGGCACACGTACTTACAGCCAATCAGCTCTGAATTATGTGAGATGACGTATGGTGGGGATGGCAGCTCAGTGCCCCTATGGTCATTATTTTTTTGCCACACACATTAAATAGGAAAATACTCTGAGCATGCGCAGTGTAGTTTTTACAGTCACCGTTCAGTTAAGACAGTGAGAGGGAGGGGCATGTTCAAGTTTTGTCCCACATGGCTCTAAACAGCTCAATAGGCACACACTGTAGACACTAATTAGAAGAACACAGACTAAAACAGCAATGTACAGACGAATCAGATGATTAAACATGATCTTAAAATATATTTTATATATTTTTATATTTATTTTTTACATTTTTTTGTAATCATTATTTTTAATACTTTCTGCTGACACTAGGTGGGGCTGTGCTAATGACCAGTCGCCACTGCATGTGTTACCATTAGCATACTGCACCGCTGTCGTCCGATCCACCACTCGCACTCCATCGTTGGAACCCGAAATGTTTAAATTTAAACGAAGCAGGTGGGTCTTCTAGCTCCTGTGTGTTATCTGAAATCGCAATAGTAACTTTTCTTCTTCTTGTATTTTGTTCATTTTGTTGTGTTTTCTTCTTCTTCTTCATTTGCTGTTTAAGGGCGGCTGGCAAACAGCTTTTAGGCGCAATACCGCCCCCTGGATTATATATAGTGTAATGGATACTGCCCTGAGTGACAGACTTTTTTCCCACTCATAAAAAAAGGCGTATTCGTCGTGTGACTACATGTGCCGAACCGTGACGGTTCGGGACGAACACGGATACCGTTAAACCCCTAAACCACTTCACCGTGTTGCTAGGGCATGAAATACAACGTCTCCAGGAGGAAGGGAGGGGGGGAGAGAGAGTGAGCAACTACCTATTCATCTTCACTTTCTTCAGATATATGACACTGCTTCCATTTCTGTCCACTCCTCTCCACGCTTTTTCTTTTACACATTTCATCAGAAGGGCCATTACTATGTCCTAGAATAGATCATCTGTCTCCTAGCCCACGTGACCTATTAAGAGTAGGGATGGACCTCCAGAACATTCTAGTAACTTGCAGCGTGGTTTTAGTCTAAAACACGCAGAATCCATTATTTTTCACTCTCAGCAGTTTCACTCAACTGGCTATCTTTAGCATCTGCATTTCAGAGTCCTACTCAGGCATACACACAGTGTCCATGGTATCAAGTATCCATTCAAACTTTGCACCCACTCACACACACAGATTTAACAATATATACAAAATAAATAAAAAAATCAATGCGGCAGAATCCAATATATTGTATTTTTTATTCCTCGCAATCTCCATTTCAAAATCTTGAGCCTACATTACCCACAATGCAACTCAACGATCAGGTGCTTGTGTAGTCCGAGATGCTTCCCTCAACTAGAGATGAGGAACAGGCTAAAGGGGTTAACTAATGGATGTATAAAGAACTTTTGATGCAGCATTGGAGGCTGGTCTCTTCCTATGAATATTGTTCAGTGTCTCATGCCCAAAAGATGTGACACCTAGTATAAAATTACACAGATCTTCCAGTGATTGTCCGCATCCATTGGCCAATAAAGCAAATGCACTGGTGTTTCCTTTAACACAGGTGCTAGACTTGGACTCATTCCTACACACGTCAGCACAAGAGTCATTCTGTTTTCAGCTTTTCGTGCATTTTACATTATTGTTCTTCTAATGATTTAAATAAGAGCTATTAAATTCTTCAAACTGAGACATTCATTTACCTTAAGAATAATTGATCTGCTGATTTATAGATGTTTCTTGCTATGTAAGACTAGGGGGAGTCTTCTTAGGCCCGATGACATCAAGTAGATTTAGAGAACGAGGAGAGAACGAGGAAGATGCAGTTCTTCGGTTGGGCCACTATGTCAAATTGGCTTCAAATTTGGAGCTTTCTGGGTGCTAGGGTAAACTCTTTTTTAAGCCACATTTTCAAACTTCTAGTCTTTAGCAATGTATCAATTTTATCCAGATACCTTGAATGTGACTGTTTTCGTGTCATCATGTGGTATATGTCTCGTCTGACAGGGGTGTAGTGCATGGATGTATAATAATAATGGGCTGCCGGAACGCACCGGAACGCACCGGAACGCCGCTCCGGCACTTCAAAATAAATTGCAGTACGCATAAGGAGCTGTACACATGCCGCAGTTTTTGCGTGGCTGTGTCTTTAGTTGTAAGCCCAGTGGCGATCTGTTCATCCGTCATACTGATCATACACGCCATCGAAAATAATATGCTACATTACAGTACTAGTAGTACTTCTGGGTCTTTGTGTGTCATTCAAGCTCGTGTGTGTGTGTGTGTGTGTGTGTGTGTGTGTGTGTGTGCGTGTGCGTGTGCGTGTGCGTGTGCGTGTGCGTGTGCGTGTGCGTGCGTGCGTGCGTGCGTGTGTGTGTGGCACGAGCGCATTTAGTTTGAGAGAGAGAGAGAGCGGTAACGAATAGGAGCTTTTTCTACAACCAGGTGAAAGAGAGCTCTCTCCTGACAGACTGAGAGGCTCTGAAAACCTCAGCTCAGTGAGGTAAAGGCACACCTTTATATGATCATTATAGTTATAAAAAAACAAGAGAATAAATGAAAAACAGGTATAAAATACTATATGACAGTAAAAAAAAAGTTGTTATTAATAAACAAGAATACAGTTTGAAAGGGGAGTGATTTGTAAAATATCCATAAAGAAAAAGAAAATCTGCTTACAGTTCTGTTTCATATGGGTGTTGAGAGATGTATCCATAGATCTCTCAATTTTGCTCTCAAAGTGCACGAGATTGATGCTTTTAACTTCAACATTTAAAATAAAATATTCCCGGGGGAGCATGCCCCCGGACCCCCCTAGAGGATGAGAGGTCCACCCCCCACTTAAATCATGTTCACATGGATAGGATACTAAATACATTTGCACACATCTTGTGTCCATATCTTTCTGCTTTGGTGGTCATGCCACAACCGTGCATGTGCATGCATGCGCGAGTCATGGTAAGATATCTGGATTAAGAGGTTGCTTTTTCTTTGCACAGCATGAAAGAAAGGCGAAATGAATGGGCTGTGATTTTAGTTTTTTTAAGCAGAGGTCAATAATTTGTACGGCCCTCGGAGGATGTTGTAAAAATTGAAATGGCCCTTGAGAGGAAAAAGGTTCCCCACCCCTGCCCTACAGTATTAAATCTGTTTTCTGCTTATTTGTGCTGTTGTACGTTGATTGGTACTTAAATGGGAGAGTAAGCTGATTGGACGTTGTTTTGAATACACTGGTGGTGTTGCTCGGGGGGAGGCCATGGTTATCCACCAGTCCATCTGTTCAACATTTTGGTACAGATTAATTTATGTGGAGAATTTTGGGACGGATTAATATTACATTTGGCAGTGACATAAATGGCCCTTAGAGGCTAAACCTAATGACTTTGGGGATCATTTGCTATCTTGCACCATCAGCAGCAGGTCAAAACTTCACCTTTCAGGTCCACACCTCTAAAACTAATCCAATTCTCATCAGCAAAGTTTTCCCTCCATTTTATTTTGAATCTCACAGCTTTGTTTGAGCTTTGCCACAGGAAGTGGCTGCTAGGAATTGCTGTAGACCTTTAGTCTTGCTAAATATTGGATTTGAGCAGACACGATTTAATCATCAGGGATGATATTATCACTGTTCAATGGGAACATTTCACTTCTCAGTGTACTGTCAAATCTAAAACAATTGCTATATGTTATTTGTCAAAGCAAAGCATGAAAGGGGGCAGCATACCTATGGAACATTCAAAAAGTAAAGAAAATTAATGGCAGTAGTCAAAAAGGAAAGAGAAGTAAAACAGATGGAAACATCATGACACATTTGGCAGAGTCATGAATATTCTTAATTTCATGAATAGATAATAAGCACAGATCTTCATGTTGGTTTTATTTAAAAAGTAGTCAAGGCGGCTTTGTCTTTTTTGCTTAACTTTTTTGTTATGAACAGTATCCGAAAAAATGAAGGGAAGTGATGCATCCCGCCACATTGTGGCTGTAGCCTAAGGCTTCCTGCTAACAGATGAAAATGTGGTGACATATTTGTGACACATTAGCTCAGACGGAAATTCCATCATTTGTGTTTACTGTTTACTGTCACCATGTCTCACTCTGAAAAAACTGAAGGAATTATCCCCACTAGTTTCTGGAATTCATATTTCATTATTTGTGACAGCATGCACACACACACACAGTTCTAACCTGCTCCTTGACGGAGGCGAGGATGGCGGAGGTGGTTTCGGACTCGGATCCATCTCCGTTGGAGGCGTTGAGGACGGGGCTCAACATGGCGGCAGCACTGGCAATGTTAGACGCCACCTCAGGCACTGGCATACCTCCTGGAAAACAAGGGAACATGCAACTATTTTACTATAATTAAATACACCGTGACATTCCAGGATTTAGGCTGAAACACCTCAGCCTAAATGTTGACATTTGTGTGAAGTCAGAGATGCAGAGAAAAACAATTCCAAGCAAACATTCAATTGATTTTGGGTTGTAGCTAAAAATGTAAATTAACCACGAATGAACCAATCTAAATATGATCCAGTCAGTTGTCCGTTTGCCAAGCATTTCAATGCATTTTGATTGCATATTACCTTAACTACATTTGATTCCACTGTGTTTAGATTATCATTCAAACTTTTTTTTTTTCATTTCTTATCTAAATTATTCATGTTTAGGGTCATGTGGAGCTGGTACTTATCCCAGCATGCATTTGGCAAGGGGCAGGGACATCACAGGTGCGCTAGTTTCTTTGAATTAGGGAAATATAGGTCAGTGAAAAGAAAGTGTCTAGACTGCACTGAGATCATGTGCACAAGTATTTTGGTAGACTGGCAAGGAGAGTAAATGCAGGGTAGAGCAAGTCAATATAATAGTAGTAGGTACGGTGTGTATGTTGGTTGGATGTGTGGGTAAATAGTACCATGACAAATACTTGGTTTGTGACAAGATGTGAATATTTATCAAAAAAGGCAATCCAGTTCACATGAAAATAGCGGTGTACGGGTTTATTTGCACTAGAAAAAAGGTACACATCTGGCACATATTTGTGGTAAATGGTTCTTCAGTACCTAGGGCATTGGAATGGTACAGCCCACACAAAAAAAGCATTTTGCTCCATTTCAGTAGTAATGCTTTAAAGTGGACCTATTTATATTGGAAAAATATATTGTCTGGCCATACCTATACAAAACATGTCTGTGAAGTTTTTTGCTTAAAATACCAAACAGTTCACCCATTGTAGCCATGCCTCATACTGCTCATACCCCTCTTTTGCAGCCCTGTTAGAGAAACGCGGATTTTGGGTCCTTAGCTTGAAAAAAAAAAAAAGAGGAGGCGAAGCTAATGCCTGATCAGAATTCTACCGGAGATAAAGTTAAATTCTGCTGTGATAAAACGCCATCCGGTTCTAAACCACATCAAAGATTATTTCTGAAACAGTATGGAGCTCAAATGCTTTTTCTCTTGCGGGTTTATCACAAGGTGAGTTCCTCTTTTTATTTCCTGCTTTTTAAGCACATGTGCTCTACACAGTACAGGTTAGCTCTGAGTGTTAGCGAGGCTTGCTAATGTAAACAAAGACGAGATTACGTCCAGAACACGTCAGGCATTGTTTCTGATAGCAATTTTCTGTGGGTCCGCTGCCGATTTGACGTCAGATCGGCAGCAAATCTGTATCCGCTCTTTGTACCCCTGTTTTAAAAATATTTGGGTACGGAGGAAAAGAGAGAGGGTTTTATTTTCTGACGCTGCGTGAGTTCCCCGACGCACCGGGGACACATATTTATGTATAAAACACATCACAAAGTGCATTTTGCATGATAGGTCCCCTTTAAGTAGCAAAAACGTTCACCTTTCTTAATCCTGAAGAGAAATTCAGTTCTTGACTCTGGTGTTATTTTACAATTACACACATAGAATACACACATAGACACTAACGGAGAGGTGGCAGAGCGAAGGGGCCGTCAGTGTTCCAGGACCCGGGGGCTGCTTGCTCTGTGCCCTGAAAATAGCGGTGTACTTGAACCAACGACCCTTCAGTTCCCAAACCATATCCCAACACACTGAGCTACTGCCACCAATAGTGGTTTTACCATTGTAGTAGTGCTACTATGACTTTTCTTGCTTGTATTGGCAACAACAAAAAAGTCAAATTATGACATACTTTGGCAGAAAACCTATTTAAACACTGTTTGTTACCATCAAAATGTTCAATGCAGAGGTTTGTAAGAAATGTATGTTTCTGGCTGAATACATAACTCATAAATATGTACTTTCATTTAAAAAACAGAAGGTTTCCCTTAACAGCTGGTTACCTTAGTGCTTGTCTTATCGTAAAAACAAAGAAAAAGTCTTCAACATGCATGCACTTTTTGGACAGTCAGAAGAGCCTGAACAATGGTCTGCCTTATAAATAAATTGGCTGGTCAAAGGGGCTTCATTTACAGTAGAGAAGCAAAGGTAAAATACAAAAATAAAAACGTTTATGCAAAATGGTTTGTAGTTTTATTAATTAACTACATAAAGATTGTCAAACTACATCACTATGCACATTTGAATGTAATTGAACAACCAGCAAACTACGGCGAAATGCACTACTATTCTTTTCACATGTTCCTCAATAGTAGCAACAATATTAAAACTTAAAGGGGACCTATCATGCAAAATGCACTTTTGTACGTCTTTTATACATGAATATGTGTCCCCGGTGTTCCAGGGAACTCACCAAGTGTCAGAAAACCCTAACCCTAACCCTAACCCTAACCCTAACCCTAACCCTAACCCTAACCCTCTCTATTTTCCTCCATACCCAAATCTCTAAAAAAGGGGCTGCAACGGATCTGATAAAAACTGATCCAGATTTGAACACTGTCCTGACGTCAGGACGGTGGCGCTACGGCTATTGGGCCAACTCCACCAATCAGGAGGAGACAGCCATTGCCGTTCGAAAGCACTGGAGACGCTGTAGTACATATGCCAGGCCTGTAGGTGGTGCTGTTCTCACAGAATCTGCCCTTGCAAAAACAGGGGTAAAAAAATGCAAATTGAGCGAAATGAGGCATGGCTAAAATGCATGATCTGTTTGGTATTTTGAAAAAAAAAAGTATAAATATGCCTTATGTAGGTATGGTCCTACACTATATTATTATAATATAGCATGATAGGTCCACTTTAAATTAAATCCCAAAATAGCCAAAACCTAAAGTAAAACACAAGTATCACAGTCCAACCTTCAGAGGGACTGGCATATACACACAACCGCACACACTCGCATGCTTGATGCCATGTGTCATCCTGTATTTGACCAGGCGTTGGAGGACACGGGCTTCACATGTGCCGTGTAATCCTGATGCAGCACAGAGCTGGTGTAACAGCTGCATCAGCCAGCTTTACACACTGATGAAAGGCTTGTCATGAGGAATCTGCCACACACACACACACACACACACACACACAACACACACACACACACACACACACACACACACACACACACACACACACACACACACACACACACACACACACAAACAGGCTGTCGGCATGAGGCAGCACCTGCCTGAAGAAATGAAAGTGGAGCCTGTGAGCAGAGTGGACGGATAGGTGTTAAAAAGTGAGAGTATAGATGTAAAAATGAAAGGAAAAGAGGAGAGGAAACAGAGTGAAGAAAACAGAAGGGGGAGGAGGAGGCGAGGCTAGGAGAAAAGACAGATACAAGAGGAGTAGGAGGGCTAGGAAAAGAGAAGAGAAAAAAACTATTCTTGCATGCTGCTAGGCAACAATCGCTGGTCACTGAAGGCTGCTAATATGGCTGACCTGGCTTCACGTGTCTTCCATTTTGGAGAGTGTTCCTGTTCTCCTCCACCTATCCATCCCTTATCTCTGTTTCTGAACTTAAATGTTTTATAACCACCTACCTTTCTACTTACACTACATGTTTTTTCTTCTCCTTCCCTCCTCACTATCCTCCCCCTCTGAACTTTGTCTCCCCCTTTCCCTTTCTCCTGCCCACTTCTCTTCACTTGACCTATTTCAGTGTCTCCTCATCTTTTCAGTGCATTTCTGCTGTATTAGGCAACATGCAGTGAAGGGTGACAGGAGGAAGAAGACTGGAAAGGTTGCTGTTTGGATTTGAACCTGCAACGCTGCACCTGAGCCCTCATGAACACTTGGTTGCTTATATGGCCTCGTGACACCGCTACATGCTTCACAGTCTTCACACTGTCTCTCTTTTCTCTCTTTTTTTTTACTCTCTGGCTAACAGCATTATCATGTGATGGCACGTGCCTTTCATTCTGTCTCTCATATCTACCTCCCGGCCTACTTACCGCCCTTTGACTTCTCCTCCCTTTCCGTCGTTGCTTTTCTTCTAATCACATCACACACAATGTCATCACTCTCATCGTCACCTTTACTCATCCTAATCTGTCTCAATTCCTCCTATTCTCAACAGAATAATCCCCCAAATCCCTCTGTTACACTCTTTACCTTTTACTTGAAGAGATAAAGTAGTCAACCTGAGTTAACATGTTCCTTGATAGCTGGAATATTGGCCATTAGCTTGTTTGGGCAACAGCTTGTCTCTTTTAATAAAGCATTTTTAAAGATTGTTTTAGATTCCCTGGTGCATGATGAAGAGTACTTGGGGCTGATCAATGAGCTGCATTGTTCCCCATATAATGTTTTCACCACACAACACTTTTTGTATAGCGTGTTACTGCTGCATATCCAATTGTTACTACTCCTCTGTCAATTTAGAAATGTACCAACGTTATGTACTGATTCTTGACTGCACAGTGTAACAGATTAAAGGCCTTTTTGTAAATGTATCTATCCCCGAGAATCTTTGAAATTCACCATTTTGGATTTTGGAGAGATCTTTGACTCAATTGAAAGCCAAAATAGCACATTTACAAGGGAAAGTACTGCAGTCTAATATTTTCTTTAGAATAACTACAAAATTAAAAGGATTATAGTACAGAAACTAAGATTCAAAAGTTAGTAATGTCATTGTGTGCATTTTAGCTTGTTAATATTAGCATGTAGCCCCTCTAAAGCCTCACACAGCTGCTAGCATGGCGGTAGACTTTTGTTTATATATGTGATTTCAGTTTTTCCCCTCCCCCAGTATATTTCAACATTTAGTCAATGCATTAGTCCACAAATATGACACATTCCTCTACATAGATGATGAATTAAGTTCTTATCGTGAATGAATTCTCTCTTTGATTTGTGGGGAAATCCCTATGCATGAAACAGACACATACATTCAAGCTTGAAATTGATTAGAGACCCAGATCAGATAGCGTAGCGGCCTGCGGCCCAATTTGCC